GTAACGAATGTAATTGGTACACTAGGTGCTGTCCGTTAAATGGAGGTGTACGCTATAGAGTGTCCATTAAGAGATGTTCTTCTGTATTTTTTTCTGGTTGAGTAGTAGTTTGAAAAACAGAGACTTTGTTGATACTCTGTGGTTCATATACAATGTAGTCCAAGCCTTTTATAATAATGTATTTATTCCCAAGAAATGGAGCAGCTGATGTCTGCGGCCATACCACATTGAAAGCACCAGTTCCCATCTGAACACTGAAGTTAAGCAACGTCGGGCCGGCTTAGTACTTGGATGGGTGACCGCCTAGGAATCGCCGGTGTCGCAGACTTTTTTTTTTCTTTATTTAGCACTAAATTTTTCATTTTTTCTTTCAAAAAATTAACTCTGTCAATGCCCATATTTACTTACTGTATTTTAATAGAAATGTGCATGTACATGTACATGTAGCATTGTGATTAATTAATGAATTATTTATTTATTTATTTATTGAATTAGGAAATGGTGTTTCTATGGAATGGAAGCTATCGTCCCAGGATTACACTTGGGACGGTCCCATCATTGATCACTGGATCACAATGCTCTCCACATTATTCCAACCTATCATGTATGTTAATAATAAAATGGAATCACTCCTTTTAATCACATGTACATGTACATACTGACATGTATTGCTGTTTGATTTTATGGAAAATAATAATTTTAAATAAGATTAATTCATGTACCAAAACCTCATGGCATTCTATAATACATTAGTGCAGTTTAGTTGCATGTACTAGCTATCACGTGTTATGACTAATTCTCTACATGCATACATGTACATGTATTTAGCGGGAGGGAGGAGTTCCTCTCTTTCTTTTCTTCCCCTCGGCCAGCGACAGGAGGAGGAGGAGGAGAGGGTGTGGATAGACAGGAATCACAACCTTGGACCTTTGTAGAGGAAGATGAAGGGCAGGTAGATAGAATTTTATTTATTGATTTATTAATTTATTTATTGGGTATTTACCATGCAACCAGAAATATTGGATAGAGTTATACAAAATTTGACAATTTTTTGATAAAAATTCTAATTGCTGGATTTATAATGTTAGCAATTTAGCTGCCAATTAAGTGTCACTGAACTTGCTCAGAATGAAGCAAGATGGTGTTGGTGGATAATCACTGCAACCAATACATGTATTAATTCCCCACTACTACACAGTATTTTCTTATATGTATACATTATGTAGACAGTTGTGCATGTATTTGCATGTAGCATAGATATGGATGTAGTAACTATTATTATTATTATTATTATTATTATTATTTTATCAGGATCATCAATGTTATTATTATTACTTGTATTCATTATTTTTGTGTTGTGTCTTAGGTTTAATTCCTTAGTTCCATTCCTCAATGAATTTCAATATAGTCTGGTGATGATGTAATGTGATGCAATATGATGTAGTAATGACTACGTTTATATTTATGATACAAAACAATGATTTAAAATAACACTGTATAGACATAAGTTTTTGTTACATACGTGTACATATATCATGTGTTTGTTTGTTTCGTGCTAATTGATTATTTCTTGCTAATATCAATTACAGCAGTATCATTGGCACTTCCTTTACTCCACACACACACACGTACACACACACACACACACACACTATTACAGGCTATTAACTATGCATACATATCTAGTTACAGTATCTCTCTATGTTAGAGTATATACATGTACATGTACATGTACATGTTAAAGTGATACATGTTGTGTTTCATTATCAAGAATGATATGTGATATACGTTAATGATTATTATCTTATTGTGTGTATTAATTTGTTGTATTATGTAATATCCTCTTTATTTACACATTATTAGTAATTTCACTCACCTGTGTCCACTGTATCCTGTTTCCTCTTCTTATATTATAGCAACATACTTTACTTTATATGCACATGCACATGTACCAGGAATGGTGTTGATTACAGGCAAAAAGATTATATTTCCATCACTGTATTACTTGTAAAAATATAGCTTGTTATGACCGGTACTATCAAATTACTATTTCAGTCCACTGTATCTCGATTACTATTCTGTACAGTGCAAAATTTTCAAGAGCTATAAATTTTGTGAATTTGCCTAAAAATTTATTTTGCAATTTATTTTTTGCGAATTTATGTCACCTGCCATCTTGTTTTTTAGCAATTTAATTTTTGTGGAAGTAATTTGGGCGAATATTGAATCTTCAAAAAATCTCGAAATTTGCAAAATTTACAGCCCTCGAAAATTTTGCACTATACATTACTATTATTATACATATTACCTCATCTCTGAATGCACAATGGTTGTACATGTACATGTACAACATGTGCATCCTTATCCTCTCTACATGTGTCTCTCCTATAGGATTCCAGTGCTAGTGATGAGGTACATCACTTGATGTTGAATGAGTCTGACTTCATATCAATACTCGACCAGTTCCCCATAACTGACGTATTTAAATGTTTACTTAACGCCAGAGAAGGTAAACAAGGATCTACATGTACATGTACATTTATGATTATATTTGTTATTCATGCATTATTGTTATGGGTGTGTTACATGTATTTTCCTGTGACGTACATGTACATGTATTATATATAAAGTGAATATTTTAATTGTAGTGTACCAAAGTATGATGCACAGAATTTAAGTTTGCACACAGTCAAACACATTTGGAACATATAGTACATACTTGATCTGTGTTTGTAAACATGAAGATTTTAATACATAAAGCTTGATTCCTATTTTAATAAAATTAAGTATCAATATTACAGTACCTCTCTCTGCCTCCCTTCCCAGGTCAGTATGCAATCTCACATATCAGCAGCTACCAAATGTTACAGTTCATCTCATTCTGCACTTGTCTCATTCGCTTGTTTGGCCGCATATTCTCAATATTGAGACACTCTTCGTACAAAGAGTTCATCAAGCAAGTAGGAAGAACCATACGACAGATAGTGCAATATGTGGCCGATCACTGGTCCTCTTATAAAGCATTGAAACTGTCGGCTGGGGACACTATGAGTTGCATGCCCAGTGGGGAAGACCCTGTACTTAGGTACTCGTTGGAGAGACTCCAGATAGAGTTTGATCAGTTTGTACTGAGAGCTACACAATGGATACTAACAGCTCATAAGTGAGGGGAGGGAGGGAGGGAGGAAGAGAGAGAAAATTAGAGGGGGAAGAGAGAGAATTAGGAAAAGAGGGAAGAGAGAGGGAAGGAAAATTAGAGGGGGAAGAGAGCGAATTAGGAAAAGAGGGAAGAGATAGGGAGAGAGGGAGAGGGAGGAAGAGAGAGAGGGAGAGGGAGGAAGATATTTAATACATAAATAAATTGACTTATTGACATTCAT